GTGACGATGTGTGAACAGAAGTTTTGTGTACATACGAAATGATCCAAAGCGAGGATCACCTCGTTCATATCGCCGGGACCATCTTCCTACCGACGTGACTATCTTAATTATATCTTAATTATTGATACTTTGAAATTACCAGACATTAACACCAAATGCTAACGACCGAGAAATTTGTGTTTTAAAACATACTAACATGTGTGTGGTGCTCAGAGATGGGCAGTAATGTAATTCAAGTAATGGAATTACGTAATTCAAATTACAATTGTAATTTGTATCGAAATTACTTTTTAAATAATTGGTAATTTGTAATTTAGAAATTTCATCTTTCATGTAATTTGGTAATGTCAAAGTAATTTCAAATTTCATTTTGACTAAAAAATATAGTTTATATGTGAGTGAACAAATATACTTACACAAATTATTATTATTTTTATTGGAAAATTTTTTTTCTTGAAATTCTAAATTTTTTTTTAAATTCTAAAAATTTATTTGAATAAAAATTTCATTTGCTACTTTGAAGTTTTATGGTCATATAGCTACATCAAAAAAGTTTACTTCTTTGATGTTTGACGCTTCTTGTTTTCTTTCTTTCTTTCCTTCTTTCTTTCTTTCCTTCTTTCTTCAGTCTTTCATTAAATGATTGAACAAATTGTTGATCGAAAGAAAGTAAATTAATAAAAGAATATGAAAATGACATCAATGAATATGCAAAATCAAAAGTAGTGGTGAATAGTGTCTTTCTTTCTTCAGTCATTCGTTAAATAATTGAACAAATTGTTGATAGAAAGAAAGTAGCTTAATAAATGAATATAAAAATGACATCAAAGAATATCAACGCCAAAAAAAATCAATGTTTAAATAAATTAAAAAAAATTTTTTTTTCATTTATTCAAAACTGGTTTGATGTAATTTAATTTCATGTAATTTGAAATTAGTAATTAAGTTCTTTTATTAAACGTAATTTGTAATTGGTATCGAAATTACAATATAGTGTGTAATTTGCCCATCTCTGGTGGTGCTGCTTGTATGTCTTATTAATTTAACAGTATGTACGTATGTTTTAATGTGTCTGTTGCGGGTAAGTGTCCTTATGTGTCCATTCGTGCTTTAAATTCATTGTTTGTTGACCGTTTTTTATTTAGTTAATTTTTTCTCCAAAATATGAGTGTGGCATTGTAGGATGGTTGTGCTTTTGGTGTCGTAAGCATTATAAGACCTCACTCAAACAAACAACATTTTTTTATAAATTTGGAGTTCATCGAGGAGAGGTTATCACTTAAAAATGATCTGAAATGAATGGATTTTAAGACATTACCTGTTTGCCTTAGAATCACTCACACATGAAAATAAGACAAAATCAATTTAAAAATACAAACATTTACATATTTTTTTCATTTTCTATAGATTTGTTTTTATTCATGAAATGTATATGAAACTTTTCAAATTTTCAGCCGTTTAACAGCTAGAAAACGTCTGAACGATATTTAAAAAAATAATTTTGAAACGTAGTTCCCTACTAGGTAAGTAGTGGTTAAGGGGTAGGTAGTCTATAGTTAGTTTTGTTAAAAAATAGTTCAATCAATCAATCAATCAATCAATCAATCAATCAATCAATCAATTAGCTTATAAAGCGCTATTTCCGCGATGTTCAACAGCGCTCCTCAATGAATTTTGAAAACAGATGGGTCTTGAGATCCGCTCTGAACTTCGCAAGTGATGGAGAAGTAGTCAGAGAAGTAGGTAGAGAGTTCCAGAGAAAAGGACCAAAAAAAGCAAAAGCAGATTTGGCAAAAGAGTGT